ACCGCACCCTGGAACAGTGGGAGCCTACCGCACCCTGGAACAGTGGGAGCCTACCACACCCTAGGAGAGTGGTAGCCTACCACACCCTCGGAGAGTGGTAGCCTACTACACCCTGGGAGAGTGTGAGGCTGTCATTCTTTGGAACAGTGAAAGCATGCCACCCAGTGGGCAGTAAAAGTTTGCCATCCCCCTGGGACAGTGGGAGCCAGTCACCTTCTGGAACAGTGAGAGCCAGTCACCTTCTGGAACAGTGAGAGCCAGTCACCTTCTGGAACAGTGAGAGCCTGTCATCCCCTGGGATAGTGAGAGCCTGTCATCCCCTGGGATAGTGAGAGCCTGTCATCCCCTGGGACAGTGGGCTGCCTTCCCCTTGGATATCTAGGAAATACACATATTGTTTTTGTAGTGTTAATAACAGTAAATGATGGTGAAGTCAAGTGCAATCCAGCAATGTGAGCCTTTTTGTCAACAACTGAGTTGTATAAATTCAAAATATGTGTACTTTTTCAAAATGTGTGTACTTTTTCAAAATATGTGTACTTTTCTCCAGACTAGTTTCCAAATTTCCAACATTCAAATTGTGTGTTTTTGTGGTTTTTATTCACAAAAATGAACCAAATGAATACCAAATCGACGTACATATGTATTCAATTATTTCTTTTTTACCATTTTTGAACAACATCGTTCTAGGCATGGGATCTTTTAGTATTTGGACAAATTTTAAATTTTACCTGTGCCTCTGACTGTGTCTTCCTGAATCTGTATTGTGATATTAGCCGGTCTGCTTGAGACAGCGCCATGGCCTTGGCTTCTAATAAGTCCTTAAGTTGGTTCTCTCTGGTCTACAAATAATAACATAATTTGTTAAAAACAATTTCTGATGTAATAAGAATAATCATGAACAATAGACAATGAATTCACTGTACACACTGGCTTATGTGTTGTATCCACACACTGCCTTATGTGTTATATCCACACACTGCCCTGTGTGTTGTACTCACACACTGCCCTGTGTGCTGTACTCGCACACTGCCCTATGTGCTGTACTCGCACACTGCCCTATGTGCTGTACTCGCACACTGCCCTATGTGCTGTACTCGCACACTGCCCTATGTGCTGTACTCGCACACTGCCCTATGTGCTGTACTCGCACACTGCCCCATGTGTTTGTGATTGCAATGTTAACAAAGTACATAACAATGAAATACCTGTACATTGTGCATTTTGTCAGTTAAACCCAGTAAATCCATATCCATGACAGATGGTTTACTGACAGCAGCATGGCAGGCTCTAGACGGTGACACACATGGACTGGTGGCACTCTTCAATGGTAGGGAGGTAATATCAACTGCTTTACACGAGTTGTTGGCTGCCATAGAATCACCTAACCTGTGATGAGTAATAAAAAGTGGTTGTCTATCAATCACAATTATGACATAATTGCACAAGAACTACTTTCTGCTATATTTATTAGTCATATCACCTTTCAATAGTTACGTACATGCTAGCATCATATTGCTGATTAACAGAGTCTATGGTATGATGTAAAAACAAAAGTGACATTTTTATAGCATAGACTCTATAGAGACACTGCAAAGTAGTTACTTACATTATAATTGAGAAGTCTGGTAGTTTAGCTGCAATACTGACTAGATGTAATGCTATCTGTACTTTGTCTCTGTCGTCTGATGTCAACGCATAGGATAATAATGATATCAGTCTGGGATCCTAAAAATGGAAATTTCTTTCTTTAGTTAACTACATGTAAGTTGGCAACACTACACTACAACGAACATGAACAGCAATGACAAATATAGTTTACAATGTGTTAAATTGTTGACAAGTTTCAAACTGCATGTGCAGTCATGCAGCAAGTCACAGATGTGTGCTGATTGGTGACGAAATGAAAATACACACCTGCAGTGTTTAGATAAATGCACACATACACATACTTGGTTTACCTGCAGTGTTTTGATAAATGCACACATACACATACTTGGTTTACCTGCAGTGTTTACATAAATGCACAAATACACATACTTGTTTACCTGCACTGTTTAGATAAATGCACACATACACATACTTGGTTTACCTGCAGTGTTTCGATAAATGCACACATACACATACTTGGTTTACCTGCAGTGTTTAGATAAATGCACACATACACATACTTGGTTTACCTGCAGTGTTTAG